GAGGGGTCCTCCTACCTCCAGGGGCTCAACTCCTGGGCAGGGAGGCAACCCTGACCCAGGCCCTCAGGGAGGCCTCCTGACAGGTTACCTCTCCCCAAGTCCCAAAGCAATTGGAGCTTTGACTGCGACCCCTCCCCCAGATGGCCCAGAGCCCAGCAAACATTAGCACTGATTGAAGCCTGCCCTGTCCCCTGGGGAGCCAGTCTTTCCAGACCTGCCCAGCATCACAGTGGACAGAGGCCCTGTCCCCCAAGCATCCTCGAGGACAAAGGCTAGGTGTGGGGCTCACTGGCCCCCAGGGGTCACACTGAGCTGGCTAAAAGGGCCGGATTGGCCCAGCCTGTCTGCACCATGGGATGTGAAGTGGGCTAGGAGGGCTGAGGGCTAAGGGTAGACCCAGCACAAGGGGATTCAAGTGTCCCTAGTGGGTCGCACAGGGCCTGTGCTGTCTGAGGCCCTGTGGCCAGTCGTCCAGCTCACCAAGAGGCTGGGCTTGCGGTTCAGAGCCCAGGTCCCAACTCGGCTGGAAGCCATGGATAAGGCTGGAGTATAGAGACCAGGCCCCAGCTCACCTGGAAGTCACGGTTGGTGTTGGGGTACAGAAAGCAGGCCCAGCCCACCTACAACCCGGAAATGGGGTTGGGCTACAGAGACCAGGCCCCAGCTCACCTGGAAGCGGGGGTTGGGGTTGGGGTATGGCAGCCAGGCGGAGCGTGAGTTCTCCTGGTATTTGAAGGGCCCCCGGAAGGCCTGGTCGATGGCACTGAGGTTGAAGACGCAGACGGCCGAGGCGGCGATGCTGTTTCTGGGGGCACAGGGGTAGGGGTGTCCTCAGACTCTGCAGAGCAGCGGGGCCATGAACAGCCTCCCAGGATCCTCTGGTGGACCAGCCAGACCCTCAACACAGGCCACAAAGGGTCCTGGTGTCCTGCCAGATGGGTGGACTCCCACAGCCACGACAGAGGCAGCAGAGCCAGGCCAGCCTGTGTGGATGTCCACCTGGAGTGTGCTCCAGATGAACCTGAGCCCACCCTGTGAGGTGACGCACATGCAGGTGCGGCACTCTGCTCCTAGAAATGTCACAGCCAGACACCTGGGGACAGTCCCGATGCCACAGGAAGGCCCCAGAGGTCAGCACAGCCGCGGACCTGGGGAGAGTCACCATGCCACAGGAAGGCCCCAGAGGTCAGCACAGCCGGGGACCTGGGGACTTCCCTTATGCTACAGACAGGGCCCCAG